CCCTGCCCATCTTGCAGCAGCTAGTGAAGAATGAGATGGTTGCTGGCATACGTGTGAAGGGGGAGCCCGATGAGGTACTTGGCTGCCCGACGTGCATGCAAGCCAAGTTCACCCGTTTCCCGTTCTCTAGTTCGGAGGCAACGGCTAAGGCACCACTTGATGAGGTGGTGATGGACGTGGTGGGCCCCCTGAAGCTTGGAGCTGCTGGAGCTGAGTACTTTCTCACGATTGTGGACGTCTACACTCGCATGACTTGGGTGTACGTGCTGTCCAAGAAGAGTGACGTGGCTGAAACGGTGAAGACCGATTGGTTGCCGATGGTGGAGCGGCAACAAGACCGGCTAGTGAAGGCAATCCGCACCGATCGAGGGGGAGAGTTCTTGACCAAGGAGTTTGGATTGTGGCTGAAGAAGAATGGCATAAGGCACTCCCTTACCATGCCATACTCCCCTGCAATGAATGGCATCGCCGAGCGAGCGAATTGGACAATCACGGAGACGGCGCGCGGGTTGCTCATTGAAGCCGGGCTACCCGAATATTTCTGGCCTGATGCGGTGCGGAGTGCATGTGTGGCCAAGAACAGAGCTTTGACTCATGTGGGAGCAGACAAATGGGTGCCCTATGTGGAGTGGATTGGAAGGAAGCCAAAGGTGGATATGCTTCGGGTGTTCGGGTGCATGTGCATGGCGCTCGTGCCTAAGCATCTTCGGCACAACAAGCTCGGTGCCAAGGCGATATGGGCTGTGCACTTGGGCATGGCTCAAAACAGCAAGGGGTGGCTTCTTTGGGACCCATTCACCAAGAAATTCTTGGTGAGCAGGGACTGCAAATTCATGGAGAATCTGATGTACAAGGATTGGAAGGCGGAGAATGAGGCGAAGATAGGCGTGCGGTTGGGGGACGTGAAGAGTTCCGGTTTGGAGCATGTGGAGCTGCCTTTGGAACTGAGCAGCGGCAGCACAACCACAAGGCAATCCTCCCTTGTAATGGGGGAGAGGAGGCCAATGATGCAGAGGAAGAAGAGGAGGAGGTGCAGCAAGTGAGCGAGCGTGCACCGTCACTTCCTTCCCGTACTACGAGTGCTTCACGGATTCGAGCCACACCGCAGCAACGCCAAGGCCTTCAAGTCCCTGCAGCTGAGGAGGAAGGAAGGGGGAAGAGGAGAGTTCAACCCCCTAATAGGCTGACCTATGATGCGCCGGGAAAGCAGGGCAAGACAGCCCTGGCCGGAGCGGCAATGATGGTCGGAGACGACGAGGAGAGTGACTACGAGGAGTGTGCCTTCGCGTTCTTCTCTCCGGTGGAGATGCCGGGAGAACCAGCAACTCTCAAGGAGGCTTTGGAGAGTAGTGATGCTGAGGAGTGGAAGAAGGCCATGGAGAGTGAGCTGAAGAGCATCGAGGAGAATGACACGTTTGAATTGGTGGAGCTACCGGAGGGGCGTAAGGCGATTACGTCCAAGTGGCTCTTCAAGATCAAGTCCGACGCCGACGGCAAGATCGAGCGCTACAAGTCTAGGCTTGTAGCCAAGGGGTACCAGCAGAAGGAGAAGGTGGACTTCAAGGAGCTGTTTGCCCCTGTGGTGAAGACGACGACGCTGCGAACCCTATTCGCGGGAGCCGCCATCAAAGGATGGGTAGTAAAGCAAATGGACATCGTAACGGCATTCCTTAACGGCATCCTTGAGGAGGAGATTTTTATGGCGCAGCCAGAGGGGTTTGATGATGGTAGTGGCAGAGTGTGGAAGCTGAAGAAGGCCCTCTATGGGCTGAAGCAGGCTCCTAGGCAATGGTACATGAAGCTGCGCGAAGTGTTGGAGGGGATCGGCTTCACTCCCTCAACGGCCGATCACTCCTTGTTCATGCTTGGCGAGGGGGAGCAGAGGAGTTTCATGGTGGTTTATGTGGATGACATCCTCATTTTCTCACCCTCTTCTGACCTTGTGAAGGAGGTGATGCTGAAGCTTCAAGACAAGTTCAAGTGCAAGGCCCTTGGTGACGTGAGCTTCTACCTTGGGCTCCACATCGAACGAGATGTGGAGAAGCGGTGCATGCGGGTGCACCAACGAAAGTACCTGGAGGCATTGGCTGCCAACTTTGGGCAGAGTGAAGGCCATGTGGCTACACCCTTTCCCTCTGGGTTCAAGTGTGTGAAGGGACCAGAGGAGGAGAGCGTTGGTGAAGAGGAGAGGCGCCGATTTCACTCGTTGGTGGGCAGCCTCATGTATGCGGCGGTAAACACCCGACCGGACGTCGCGTTTGCTACCGGGCAGCTGGCTAGGGTTGTGCAATGCCCTAATGAGGAGCAGGTAGCAGCTGGAATGAGGGTGGCCAAGTATCTTGGCCAAACACCGACCGTTGGGCTGCAATACTCGGCGGCGACACAAAGGCGCCAAAAGGGCGCGGATGGTGTTGAACCCGGGCGTTTGTTCCTCACCGCATTCTCGGATGCTTCTTTTGCATCAGAACCAGAGGACATGACAAGTGTTGGAGGGTTCATTTGCTGTGTTGGTGGAGGCCCAACTGCTCGGGAGAGCAAGAAGCAGGTGGATCAAGCATTGAGCTCGGTGGAGTCCGAGTATATGGCACTCTTCCGTGCCGTACGAGAGATTGTGTGGCAGTGGCGTTTGTTGGCTGAATTGGGGGAGGAGCAGCAAGGACCTACCCCACTCTACTGTGACAGCCAGGGTGCCATTGCTCTTGCTAAGAACCCTGTGTTGCATGGCCTCACCAAGCACATGAGGGTGAAGTGGCATTGGACGAGGAGCATGGTGGCCGCGGGTGAAGTTGAGTTGCACTATGTGAAGACGACAAGGCAGCCAGCTGACATGATGACCAAGAGGCTTGTGGAGCAGCAGCATTGGAAGTGTTGCAAGCTGGCTGGGATGGCTCTGAACTGAGAGAGCAAGATCCTAAGGCCAACAATCCGAGGGGGAGTTTGTTGGTGCAACCCTACGGTTTGCATTCGGCTTGTTGTCCGTGTGCGTGCATGCGTGTGTGCATGGAATGGTATGAGGGCATGAAATAATATATATTTCATGTTTACAATAGTGTGTGTATGATGAAGCATGATTTTGAATGTGTGCGTCGAGTCAATAGCGAGTTATCGCTAGTCGCGTGTCACGTCGTCGTTTGCGTGTCGTGTGCGGTTTTCTATTTTGTCGTGTGTGGAACGTTCGGCGTGTCGCAGGTGTGCGCAGCAGACTTCCAAGAACTCAAGGAAGAATTTACCTTGAAGAACCAGAGCCTTGGTTTCAAGATTCAAGTTATTTCGAAGCTCTCCAAAAGGGTAAACTTTAAGTTAGTGAGAATAGTTGCATTACTTTGTGTAGTGTAACATTTCTCTTGGTGTAGGCCCTTGTGGAGGGTAGTTTCGAGACCCTTCGTGGTTGGGGACAGTGTGGCACTGTTCCACATCACTGTACCTCGGCTCTTGGGGTTTGTAGGAGCTGGGAGTCATTCCCAACTCGTAACTCTTCCTATCTTGTGTTCTAAGACTATAGTGGCTGCCATAGTACCGTTCGTTCAAACCGACGCTGTGTCGTCAATTCTTTATCAAATCGTGCAATCTAAATTGATAATTGTAGACGACGTGAAGACGCTCCAGATCCAATTTGAATCAAGTCATTTGCAGCTGTGAGCAGAACGCTATCAACGTTTGAAGCCGCTGTGCAGAAATCCGTCTGTGCTCTCTATCTTTCGTTTTAGGCACATTCAAGCCTATTATGACTATAACAATGACTTGTTAATTTGCTACTTTCACATGGTATAGAGCTACTTGTTCCTAGGCCTTACCTCTCCCTCCCTTCAGTTTTTTTTTCCCATGGGCCCACCCCACAACTACAAACCCTTTCCTACGCGTGGCTCAACTAGCCATCACTAGCATACTCTCGCCGCGACCTACGCCGTCGCCGCCGTTCCCCCCCCCTTCCGCCGCGATTACGCCTTCCTCGCCTGCGGATTCCACCGCCGCGAGCGCAACGCCGCTGTCCCCTCCTCCCCCCCGCCGCGACCCCCTGTCGCCGCCTCCCCTTCTCGCCGCCGCGCCTGATTCGGCGCTGCCTGCGCATCCTGCCGCCGCGACGCCTCGTCGCCGCCTGCCCGCTGCCCGTCCCTCCGCCGCGACGTCACGTCGCCGCGTTCCCGCCGCTGCGCCTGCTACGGCGCCGCCTGCGCATCCTGCCGCCGCGACGCCTCGTCGCCGCCTGCCCGTCCCTCCGCCGCGATGTCTCGTCGTCGCGTTCCCGCCGTCGCGCCTGCTTCGGCGCCGCCTGCGCATCCTGCCGCCGCGACGCCTCGTCACCGCCTGCCCGTCCCTCCGCCGCGACGTCTCGTCGCCGCGTTCCCGCCGCCGCGCCTGCTACGGCGCCGCCTGCGCATCCTGCCGCCGCGACACCTCGTCGCCGCCTGCCCGTCCCTCCGCCGCGACGTCTCGTCGCCGCGTTCCCGCCGCCGCGCCTGCTTCGGCGCCGCCTGCGCATCCCGCCGCCGCGACGCCTCGTCGCCGCCTGCCCGTCCCTCCGCCGCGACGTCACGTTGCCGCCTCCCCTTCCCGCCGCCGCGCCTGCTTCGGCGCCGTCTGCCCGTCCCGCCGCCGCGACAGCTCGTCGCCCCCTGCCCGTCCCGCCGCCGCGACCTAACATCGCCGCCTGCGCATTCCGCCGCCGCGACTGCTCGTCGTCACCTCCCCGCCCCCACCTCCCCCCCCCCCCCCCCCCCCCCCCGCCGCGATTTCGCATTGCCGCCTCCCCTCCCACCGCCGCACCTGCTTCTGCGTCACCCACGCATCTCGCTGCCCCTTCTGCATCGCCACCCTCCCGCAATTTCCCCCGCCGCAACTGCAACATCGTCGCCCCGCGGTTCCCGTTAACGCCACTGCGCCGCCGCCGCCCTACCGCCGCGACTGCTTCGGCGCCGTCTGCCCATCCTCCACCGCGACCGCGCCATCCCCGCCCACACTTCCTGCCGCCGTGACTGCCCCGTCGCCGCCTGCAGATTCAGCCGCAACTGCACCCTCCCTTCCTCCTCTCCCTACTCCTCTCCCCCCCCCTCCCCCTCCCCCTGCGCCCCTCGTTGCCGCGGCCTGCCTGCCGCCGCCGTCCCTCGTTTCGCCGCCGCGGCCCTTCCGCCGTCGCCTGCGCCCCTCGTCGTCGCGGCCTGCTCACCGCCGCCGCCCCCGACTTTGCCACCGCCTCCCCTTCTCGCCGCCGCACGTTCGCACAGCCGCCTGCGCCCTTGTCACCGTCGCTCCCTGCACCTTGAACGCCTCTGCCCTCCACCGCTGTCTCCCTCCTTTACCCCCCCCCCCCCCCCCCCCCTCCCTCCTCCTGCCAGCGGCAGCAGCAGCGGCAGCAGGGGAAGTGCAGCAGCCTCCGCAGCAGCAACTTCACCCTTGGCCGCCGCGGGTCCACCCGCCGTCGCCCATCATGACTGCTACCCCCCCTGCCCCTCTCCCCCCTCCTCACTGGAGCAGTGTTACTCCTCGCCCCTCCCTTCTCAACACTCCGACCCTCCACTCCTCCCCCCCCCCTTATCTCCGCCTGCTCACCCCCTCCCCCCCTCCCCATCTGCGGCGTTTCCAGCAGCTCCAGCATCAGCAGCAGCAGGACTTCCAGCAGCGGCAGCAACCACAATTTCTCCAGCCGCACCCCCCACATCTCCTCCAGCCGCGGCAATCGCAGCAGCAGCAGTTCTTCCAACACCAACAGCAGCCGCAATCTCTCCAGCCTCACCCGCCACAGTTTCTCCATCCCCAGCAGCAGCAGTCCTTCCAGCCGCAGCAGCGGCAGTCCTTCCAGCAGCAGCAGCTGCCACAGTTCCTTCCACCGCAGCAGCAGCAGTCCTTCCTGCAGCAGCAGCAGCCACAGTCTCTTCAGCCGCAGCAGCAGCAGTGCTTCCAGCAGCAGCAGCTGCCACAGTTCCTTCCGCCGCAGCAGCAGCAGTCCTTCCAGCAGCAGCGGCAGCCACAGTTTCTTCAGCCGCAGCAGCAGCAGTGCTTCCAGCAGCAGCACCAGCCACAGTTCTCTCCATCCGCAGCAGCAGCAGTGCTTCCAGCAGCAGTAGCCACCACAATCTCTCCAGCCGCAGCAACCGCGGCAGCATCGGTGGTGCTTCCAGCAGCAGCAGCAGCCCAATCTCTCCAGCCGCAACCGTCACAGTCTCTCCCACCGCAGCAGCCGCAGCAGCAACAGTACTTACAGCAGCAGCACCCGCCGCTCTCTCCCTCTTCTATCCATGAAACAACTCTCCAGTACTCTGTGTTCCCTCCCTCTCCTTCCCCCCCCACCCTGGACTTTGTCCTTGACAGTGGGGCCACCGAAACCGCACTAAAAGACGCTGGCACCCTCACCCCCCTTCCACTTCCCACCCAGGTTCATGGTGCCGACTCCAGCTTTTCCATCCCCTGCACTCACCTCTCCACCCTTCCTTGCACCGCCTTCCCATCCGGTACAGTCACCGGTCTCCACATCCCTACCCTTCGCAATAACCTCCTCTCCCACCGTGAACTCCAAGGCGTTGGCATTACCGCCATTTACCCTGGCTTTGCTTCCTACTGCGATCTCTACCACACCGCCTCTGGTCGTTTCCTCCTGCGCATTCCCCTTTGCCCTCGCACTCGCCTTTACACGCTCCGCACACCCCGTCCCTCCTTTTGTCACGTCACCACTCGTGCTGGTACTTCCACCGGTCCCCTTCTCCCTCCCCCTCACCCTCCCCCTCCCCCTCCTCCGATATCCTCCTCCTCTACTCCATCCGCCTCCTCCTCCCCCCCCAACTTTTCCCCCACCCCATCCCCCTCCTCCTCTACTGCCCTCTCCCATCCTGCAGTGCTCCTACATCACAGACTCGGCCATCCCAACTTCGCCGCACTTCGCTCCACCGTCACCTCTCGCCTCCTTAACAGCCTTCCTCCCACCTTACCTCCCCTCCCCTCCTCCCCTGCTCCCCCATGCCCATCATGCATTCATGGCAAGCTCAAACAGTCCCCCCATCACAGTCATCCCACCTTCGCTCCCGCCCCCATTGACCTTGTTCACATGGATCTCTGGGGCCCTTATCCCATCCGCTCCCGTCAGGGGCACAGGTACATGCTCGTGCTCGTCGACGACCACAGTCGGTACTCCACCGTCTTCTTTCTTCACACGAAATACCAGGTGCCGGCTGTGGTCATCAACTGGGCTGAGCAGTGCCGCAACCACTTCAAACGTCCCATAGGCCGCCTTCACTCTGACGGTGGGGGTGAGTTCATCAATCATACTCTCTCCACTTACTGCAAAACATACGGCATTCAGCAGACCACCACCCTTCCCCACTCCCCTCAGCAAAACGGCATCGCTGAGAGTCGCATCCGTGAGATCACCAAGATTGCGCGCTGCCTCATTGCTCACGCCTCCACCCCTCCCTCCCTCTGGAGCTATGCCCTCATTCATGCCGCCCTCCTCCTCAATCTCCGCTCCCACCCTCAGCATCCCTCCTCCTCCCCCACAGAACTCTGGTCCAAGGCCAAGCCTGACGCCGCAGGCCTTCGTGTTTGGGGCTGCAAGGCGTTCGTCCTCATTCCACCGGCCGACCGCTCCCGCGCTGCTGGCAAGCTCGCTCCTCGCGCTCTGGAGTGCGTCTACCTTGGGCACAATCGTGATTCCCCAGGCTACCTATTCCTCCACCCTCCCACCAATCGCCTCATCCGCAGCATTGACGTCGTCTTTGACGAGTCCACTCCCTACTACTCCACCCCTCCTCCTGACCCCCTCCCTCCTCCCACTCGCCCCCTCGCTTGGACCGACACCATCCTCCCGCCTCTTATCCCTCCAGCGCCTCTCCTCCCACCTGTCGCCGCCCCACTCCCGCCTTCCTCCTCTGCCGACGTCTACGACCCTGCCGCACCCGCCTCCCCCGCTCACTCAGCTGCACCCCCTCCCCCCTCTCCCTCCTCCTCTCATTCTCCTCCTTTCCAGCAGCCGGATCAGCAACAGCAGGGGCAGCAGCAGCAGCAGCAGCAGCCGGATCAGCAACAGCAGGGGCAGCAGCAGCACCAGCAGCAGCAGCAGCGGGAGCAACACCAGCAACGGCAGCAGGGGCAGCAGCAGCAGCAGCCGGGGCAGCAGCAGCAGCAGCAGCAGCAGCAGCAGCAGCAGCAGCAGCCGGAGCAGCAGCAGCAGCAGCAGCAGCCGGGGCAGCCGCATCAGCAGCAGCCGGGACAGCAGCAGCAGCAGCAGCATCAGCAGCAGCAGCACCAGAAGCAGCAGCGGCGCCGTGCCACTTCCCGCTCCTCCCCCTTCCTCCTCCCTTACATCCATACCCGCTCGGTGGACAAAATCCTTGGGGCTCCTCCTCCTGCCTCCATTCAGCTCCTTGAGGACTCCCATGAGGAGTTCCTCAACATTCGGGAGCACACTCCATTCCTTGCCGCCCTCTACCTTGACTTCCTGGGCTTTCCTGTCCTTGGCGCCACTACTACCCCCACCATCTTCACTCCCTCCACCTTCCAGGAAGCCATCACCTGCCCTGATGCAGATAAATGGATAGCAGCGATCTTCCTGGAGTGTGAGGCCTTCATTCGCAACGACTCCTTTGTCGATGTCCCCCTCCCTGCTGGCGCTAATCTCGTTGACGGCAAATGGGTCTTTCGGGTGAAGCAGCTGCCGGGCGAGGAACCAGTGTACAAGGCCCGCTACTGCGCCAAGGGGTTCACGCAGACTTGGGCTGAGGACTACTGGTTCACCTACGCCCCCACCGCCAAACCACCCACCCTTCGCGCCGCCATGGACATTGGTGCACGTGACGACATGGAAATCGACTCCATGGACGTCTCCAATGCGTTCCTGCAGGGCGACCTGCATGAGCGCATTTTCCTCCGGCGACCCCCCGGGTTCCACGCAGCCTTTCCTGAGAACACTGTCTGGCAGCTGCGTCGCCCCGTCTACGGCTTGAAGCAGGCACCACGTGAGTGGCATGCGAAGCTGACTGCCACCTTGGGGTCCCTCGGCTTCTCTGCTTCCCACTCCGACGCCAGCCTCTTCATCCGCTCCTCCCCCCGCCGCTTCTTCATTCTGGTATATGTCGACGACATGATCCTGCTCTCTGACACCAATGCCGACATGGAGCAGGTGAAGCTGTCCCTGCAGCAGCGGCTCAAGTGCAAGGACCTTGGCGCCCTCACTAACTACCTCGGCATGACCATCACGCGCAACCGCCCTGCTCGCACAATCACCCTCTCCCAGTCCCATTACATCGGCCAGGTCTTGGAGAAGTTCGACATGGCGCAAGCCAAGCCTGTTTCCACCCCGCTCTGCTGAGGGTTGTAGGGCACTGTGAGCTGATGCTGAATGCCCTTCTTCTTCAGCACCGCCTCAAACTCATTGCCAATGAACTCTCCTCCGTTGTCGGTGCGGATCACCTTCACCTTATGTCCGCTCTCCCTTTGAGCTCTCGGCATCCACTCCTTAAGAACAGCCGCTGCCACCTCCCCTTTAGTCTTGAGAGGGTAGACCCACACCGCACGCGTGTGGTCGTCTACAATGGTCAAGAAGTAGCGGCTACCTGAGAGAGAATTTGCCCTCGTAGGGCCCACCACATCCATGTGCACAATCGCAAGTGGTGCCTTGGCTAGTCATGTGCTGCTACTGAAGGGAAACTTCGTGAACTTGGTCTCAAGGCATATAGGGCAGCTCCCAATCTCCTTTGCTGCCCCCTTCACCTCCAACCCCTTCAAGCTCCCATCTTTCACTAACTTCTGCAGCATAGGAAAATTCACATGACACAGCCTCTCATGCCACGTCTCCCAATGAGCCTCACCACTCCCAGATGAAGCCTTTGCCCATGCAGCGGTCGCATCCACACCAACAAGCACCTCACCATGTGGCTGCTGTGGCTGCTGCACCTTCTCGACTGCATCCATGACCCCATCAGTTGGCAAGGTCTCCTCTCCTCCCGCAGTTGCCTTAGCCGTTGTTGCAGCCGCTGCCGTTGCTGGTGGTTTCCCATTCCAAGAGATGATGGGCAGCTGCCATAGGTCCTTAATGCAGCTGCTCTTCTCCTCCAAATCCCACAGCAGCAACTTCCCAAGCTTCGCACGGCAGCTGGTTGGGCCGAAGGTCACTTTGGCCTTGCTCTTCTGCAGCCGGCGCACAGAAAGAAGGTTAGCGGACAAACCTTCAACCAACAGCACATTCCCCAGCCCCACAAGCACCCCATTGGCTCCCATTACCTTGGCATTCCCAACACCAATCACAGGGAGCAAAGCACCTGAAGCGGCAGCCACA